GTCCTGGCCCCTGCTGGCCTCCAGGGTGGAAGAAGCTGCTATAGCCCTGGACCGAGGAACTGGACTGATGAGCGCGGGCTGGGGCTGAAGGCAGGCTGGGGTGCAGGACCAAGACAGCCCAAGCCAGTGCCTGGGGCTTCTTTGATTTCAGCTGCATCAGGAACTGACCTGGGGCTTCCTCCCCCAGGTCCATTTTCATGGGATACCTGCTTTTGCTCCTGCCAGGAGACCTGTGGCTTCCTGAGCTGTGAGACACAGATGAAGAGGATCATGCTGACGGGGAAGCCGCAGGCTGCTAGGCCCATAGCAGGGCTCCGAGGCCAGTCTGGGACCCACACTGCTTACCAGCTGCGTGAGCGTCCATCCACGCCTCCATTTCTCCCCCTGGGAAGAAGGCGTGGGACCAAGTGACCGCTACCATCCAGGGGGCCTCAAAGCCCGCTGAGTCTGAGGTGTGTGTGAATTCTGGGGAGCCCGGGACAAGTGACTCCATTGTGTCCGAGCCCCAGGGGGGCCTGGATGTTGCCTCTGGTCTGTGATGGACACAGCCTTTGTGGGCACCCTGGGGCACGACCTGTTCCTCTGGGCTTCCAGGAGGGAAGTGAAGGCTCCGGGGCATTGGAACGGCCACTGGAGCAGTTCTGCTGACACGAGACCACTACCCGCCATTTCCCCAGCACCCCCTGGCATCAAGCGCCCCCTCAAATTCCCACAGGAGCCTGCAGGACTGGGGCTATTATCTACTATGGAGGGGAGCAGATTGCAGCTCCCAAGAGGTTACGTGAAAGCCCACAGCCGCACGGCTGCTAAATCACAGCGCAGGATCTTGGGCCGATTGGCCCCAAGATCACTCGCCAGCCACCATGACCGACGGCATCTCAGTCCCACACCACTGGGGCGTCGTGGCACCGCGGGTTAAGCTGCTGCTTCGTATGACACTGGCATCGCATAGGAGAGCAGGTGAGAGCCACAGCTGCTCTGCTTCACACCCAGCTCCCTGCTAATGAGCTTGGGAAGGCAGAAGAAGATGACCCAAGTGTTTGGTGTCACCCACCAGGGGGACCCAGATGGAGTTCTGGGCCCTGGCTTCAACCTGGCCCAACCCCAGCCATTGCAGCCATTTGGGAGTGAACTAGCTGATGGAAGAGCCTCTCTCTCTCTCTCTCTCTCTGCTAAATAAATAAAATCTTTTTAAAACTCCCATAGTATTAAGCTCCCTGGCCTGAGGCTAGTCCCCTTCTCTACTGTCTCTGAATTCTCCTTGGGCTGGCTTCTTCCTCTGAGCCACAGTCATGAGCCAGTGCACACAGGCCTTCCCCCAGACCCCAGGTCCCCCTCCTCGCCTTCGCGCCCCACTCACTCCCCCTTCACTGGAACCGCTCTGGGCATGACCCAAGCCCCTGTCTTGCCATAATCAGGCATGGACAGCAGTCCTGGCCACAGGTAACTCTCTGGGGCACTTTGACTCCTCCCTCCATCTCCACGGCACCCCTCCCTCTCGGTCCACCTCCTATTCAGCCACATGTTCTCCATTGCCCCTCCCCCAGCCCATTCAAAGGGCTCTGCCTTCAACTTCTCTTCACCACGGAGTATTCCTGGCTCACCACCCACAGCCACGGCTACAACCTACACACTGATGGCTCTTCTTGTTTTTAAAGGCTTATTTATTTATTTGACAAGCAGAGTGACAGGGAGAGAGGGGGAGAGACAGAAAGTCTCCCATCTGCTGATTTTACTTCCCCAATGCTGGCAACAGCCAGGTCTGGGCAGGCCCAAGCCAGGAGCCTGGAACTCCATCTGGGTCTTCCATGTGGGTGGCAGGGACCCATGCACTTGCTATCACCCACTGCCTTCCAGGTGCATCAGCAGGGAGCTAGATTGAAAGAGGAGGGGCTGGGATTTGATTCAAGCACTCAGATAGGGGATGGGACTCAACGTGCCCACCCATGATGGCTTCTGAGTTGCTGTCTCTAGCCTTGACCTTGGTCTGAGCTTCAGCGTCACAGATGGAACTCCTGGACCCGGATCCTGAGTGGCCCGTGGGTAGCAGAGTCAACATGTGTGAAATTGCACCCGTCATTTTCTCCTCCCAAACGTGCTTCTCTTCTTCCATTCGCCATCACAGGTAAACCACTGACTCTCCCACGCAGCTGCGGCATTAGATCATCCAATCAGCAAGCAGTGGGACACCCTAACAGCAGCCCCCTCCTCTGGACTAGGAGTTGCGGCCGTGGGCCAGACACATGCGTGCACCCATGCCTCACTGGTGGCTGTGTGGGGAGGCTCTGTCCTACCCCATGGTGTTCACTGGGGATTGGAGTTATTTAGGAGGGGGACCAAGAGGATTCATGAGCCTGCACTTAGGGCTGTGTTCAGCAACATCACCAAATCACACTTAGGGGCCAAAGATCACCATGCCTAGCCGCCAGGGACCGTGGACAAATTATTTTAAGCCTTGTGCTGTAGGTTCTTGGGCTGTACCTCCCAGTTTACATTCACCACATGTGTATCTGTTCTCCATGTGATACGCTCTTCCAGGTGGTCCCAGGAAGTAACAGGAGAGTAAGAAAGACCCCGTGTTGAGTTTAAAATCCACTTGGGGGGCTAACGCATGGATACACACAATCACCATGCAACAAAGTCCGGGACTTGTGGATTCGCTGGTGCAGAGGGCTTGGGGTTCCACCTGCGAGCTCAGGAGTGCTGGACCAGCAGGCTGGAGTACATGGCTAAACGGGGCCACGGGCGCCGGCCGGCTATCTGGGGCCAGCTCTGCTCACTAACCACAGGTGACCTTAAAGCCAGTGAGCCTGGCTCTGGAAAATCCCTTGTGTACAAAGTCCCACTGGACACTGGGCAAGACCCAGCACAATTCTGCCTTTGCTGTGTGTTCAGATACAAACCCAGATGATATTTTTTGATTTTACACCGTCTGGTGATAGGGCCCACCGGAACCCACAGGAATTTAAAATGTCCCAAGCTTCGAGAATAGACCCTCCCTTTGCAAAGTTAACGGGACTGTTTCTGAGTTTTGAAAGAAAAGTGATACATCGCGTGCAGGAACACTTGAAATCAGAGAGTGCAGAGCACATGTTTTTAAAAGGTACTGCTTGGTGTCAGAGCAGAAACAAGCCTTTTGTTGACAAGGATGGAGGGGCACAGGGCACACAAAACATCGAAGATCGTCACACACACACACACACACACAGAGCCCGAGTGTCCACGGGGAACACCCTCTGCCGTTCCCATATGCGGCGTGGAAACGCGGCTCAGAGCGGTCCTGCAGAGGCTGCCCCCACCCCGCAGCACACCCTCCACCGCTCCACCTGCAGGCAGCGCCTGCGCACAGCCCACCGGCCCAGGGACGCGGCTGGGCCCCCGGGAACGAGCCCTCCAGCCCGCCGGATCTGGCACAAAGACCGCAGATTAGCAGCTCAGGAGTCACGTGAGCCCAGTTCACGCCCACCCCACCCCCTGCAGCTCCGCACCGGGGCGGTGGGTGAGCCTCCTCCACGGGGGTCTATGTAGCTGACTCCCCCCATCCTCACCCCTGCACAGAGCAGTTTTTGAAAAAATACACGCGTGGGGGAGGCGGGGGGAGGGCCTCTTTATTTCTGTCACGGGGTACATCGGGCTATGGGATTCTCCAACCCCTCCCTCCACCCCAAGACTTCTCTGATCCTCGACTCCATTCTCTCCACTTCTTTGGCTCCTGGCCCTGGACTAATTGCTCTTCTCAACAGCCCTAGGTAGCAGGTGTGACGGCCCCTATTCCACACGCGAGGACTGGGGCCCAGAGAGTAACTCGCGCAGAGTCTTAGGGCTAGTACCTTGGCATAGCTGGTTCTGAGCCGTCACCCGTTTTGGCCCCCAAACCCCAAGATTTGATTGCTGCGCACTACATAGCAAGAATAACCAATACTTCCTGAGCAATTACTGAACACTGGGCATTTTGCAACGCGTTTCTGAGGCAAGTCTCACCAGGTCTGTGATCCTGAGCAAGTTCATCTCTATATTTTTAAAAATTTTTTGTAATATAATTTGTTAGATCTTCCAGCCTCTGGTTCGCTCCCCAGATGCCTACAACGACTTAGGGCTGGACTGGGCAAGGCCATAGCCAAGAGCCAGGAACTCAATCCTGGTCTCCCAGGGGGGTCGGTAGGGACCCTTCTCCTTGAGCCATCACCTGCCCCCCCCCCAAGGAGTGCATTAGGAGCTGAGCTGGGGATGGAACCCAAGCACTCCAAGGTGGGATGCGGGCATCCCAACAGGTGTCAACAGGTCCCTTAACCTCTTTTTGATTTAATTTTCCTGTCTCCAAAATGAGGCTTAAGCGAAGGCAGCTGCGGGAGGCTGACACTTGAAAAGCCTTGGGAACACGGATCCGCACTCATTCACCTGTGAACATTTTGTCTTTCGCATTTTTCTTTAACTCTCACTTCCATTTCACAGGAGAGCAGCCTAGGCTTGGAGGGGTTAAGCAACGCATTGGCCAGGCTGTCCGGGGGTGGGGGTGGGGCGCTCCTGCACACACCGTGAAGTCGAGCAAGCCGAAGGGACCGGTCCGCAGGTGGGCCGCACCTGGAAGGTGAGACACGTGCTCCCGGGCGCGGCGGCAGGCGGAGCGCGCCGCAGCCCCCCCTGCAGCCGGGAAGGGTCCTAGGCTAACGCAGCACTGGGAGGGGGGGTCCTTCTTGTTCGGCACTGGCCGTGTTGGGGATCCCACCCCCCAAGACGTCCCTTCAACGTCTCCACTGACCGCACCCGTGCGAGGAGCCAGCGGCTCGGTCGTGGGGCCCCAGCCCGCGCCCTCCACCCCCACCGTGCCCGGGCCCAGCCGCCGCCCCCCGCAGTCCCCCGCCCGCCCGCCGCGCTCCAGGGCGGAGTTTCCTCCCCGCTCATTGTTCGCGGCCCAGCGCCCGCCCCGCCGCGGCCCCGCCCGGCCCCGCCGCCGCCGCCGCCGCGGGTGCGCTCCTGGGGGAGGGGCGGGGGCCGGCGCGGACGGGACGGGATCGGAGTCGCCGCTGCAGCCGCCGGCCGAGGTGCAGCCGCGCAGCCGCCGCCCGGGACGCAGCCGCCGCCGCCGCCGCTCCAGCGCTGGCCGCACGCCCTAGCCGGGCTCTGCCGCAGCGGCGGGGAGGAGGAGCCGCGCCAGCGAGACCCGGGAGCCCGGGCGCCGCCAGAGCCGCCGCCGGGCCTGCCGGAGCGGCGCGCACGCTCGCTCCCGCCGCCGCGCACGGACCCTCCGTCTGCCAGCCTCGCTGCACCTGCTCCAGGCCCCCGGAGCGAGGACGCGATGCGCTCCGCGTTGGCGCTTGCGGCGCTGCTGCTGCTGCTGTCGCCGCCGTCGCTCTCCCAGGAAAACAGTGAGTGGCGCGGGCGCTTGCCGGGACCCCGCCATACCCGTGCGTCCCCCGCGCGCGCCGCAGGGTCCGACCCAGGCATTCCCTCTCTCGCCCGGGCCACGCGCGGAGCCCTGGCCTTGCACCAGCTGCGGCCGCTCCAAACTCCAGAGCGCCGCAGGTGCGGGGCCTTGGGCGTGGGGGGAGGCTGCGTCCCTACTCCGGGCACTGGGCGGTGGATGGTGCGGGCGCCCAGTGGGGAGGTGGAGAAAGATGGGAAACTTGCGAGGGTTCGCGCTTCCGCGGGACCCGCAGAGTCTCCCGAGCTTTTTCGTCCTCTTCGGCGGGGATAAGGGACAGCGCTGAATAGGCGTGGATTCCGGACAGCGCAGCGGGCTGGGAGTTAGCTAGGAAGGCTCCGCAGCCGGTGGGTGACAAGGTCCCGGGAACGGCCCGCGCGGGCGGAGTGCTTGGGGTTCGCGGCGGTTCGTCCAAGGAGAGTGCAAGCTCACTCCACCTGCGCCCGCGCTAGAGCAGGTGGAGGGAGTGAGGGGGCTCGGTCCCCGTGTCTCCAAAGGAGCAGATCCTTAGCCGTGCAAGGCCCGCATAGTGGGATCCCCTCCTCTCCCCGACATAGAAAAGAACTCTGTCTTCTGAAATGGATTGGGTCGCATCTTAAAAAGCACCTTTGAAAGGGCACCTGGCTCCTGAAACAGAGCCGAACCCTGGAAACACCCGCCCCCCTTTCTCCTGAAGGTGAGATGTTAGACCTTTTTCTGGTGGGACAGGTGGGGGCCCCAGGAAGAGCAGGCGTCTCATGGGACTTTCATGTTCTCTGGAGCCCACCTGAGCACAGGTCTGCTGGGAGAAAGGGCTTAGGGAGCACCCTCCTCCCGCCCCCCACGGTTCCCCGACAGTAGTGGCAGCCTGGGTGGGTTAGGGGGCTGGCTGGTGGTCTGGGAGGTGGAGTGGGGAGGGGTGATGCTGGCAGAAACTGCAGGCTTGAGCATCGTTTAGGGGCGACTGAGTGAAAGTGAAAAACCGTGGGTACAGCTCTGAGGGTGTGAGGCACTGTGGGCTTGCACAGCCTGTGGGCCAGAGAAGGTGCTGGAGTGTGTGTGTTCCCCAGGTCTTTATGGATCTTCCTGGATCTTCCCAGACAGCCTTTTGTGGGGGAGGGGGGAAAGCCGGCTTAGTCCCTGGTGGCTGAGCCACCCCTCCTTGGAGAAGGTGGGAGTGGCCCCCTACTGTTCTCCCCCAGGGGCAGGTACTGCTGAGGAGCCAGCTCACCACAGGCTTCAAGGCTGGGACTGTCCTGCCAGGCACCTGGGCTCTCCCAATAGTCTTTCCCAAGCCCAGTGTGTGGTGGCCCTGGCTGGAGCTTGACATGTGGCAAACGAAAAAGACCGTGCCCAGCCCTGCGCCAGCCAGCGAGCCACCTGGCCCCGGGGTGCGCAGCCCCCACTGCCTCCATGCCACCACTACCTGTGCAGTTGGAAAGGAAGTGGAGGAGGGGACATGATGGTGATTTGCATACAGTGAAGCCCAAAAAGGCTGAGAGGTGCAAGCTTGGGGCCCCGGGCCAGCTCCATCTCCTCCCAGCTGCAGATGTGTCCTGCTGACACGGGGAGTTCTGTGACTTGACGCAAAGCAACACAGGTTTCTAGCATAAGTCTCTGGAGCGAGGAAGTCCCCAGGCACGTCCCCGGAGCTCACCTTGTAACTCAGGCTCGCCTTGCTCCGGGAGAAGCCTGAACCCTTGGGGCCTTGGCCGTGCTCTGGGAGAGCCAGCCCTCCCTGCAAGTCTCCATGTCCTCAGCTGTGAGACGTCGGTGTGGAAGAGTGGAAGGGATGGCTCGTTGAAATTTTGGGGTTCCGTGTCCCCTCTGAGCTGAAGAGGCAGGCTGATCATGGCTGTCACCGTGATAGTCATTCAAAGGGTGGATTCCAGGCACGAGGAAGGGGGCAGCGCAGCACACAGGCTTCCGGTCAGTCGGACCTGTGTCTCGCAGCCTCAGTGTCCCCGTCTGTAAAATGGTAACAAGCCCCCCTGAAGTGGAAAGGGAACATATGGCAGGGGCTTGGTGCTGTGCCCAGCTCAGGGTCAGAGCTCAAGGAATGATAGCCATGGCCATTGCCAGCCCGTGTCTCTGAGGCAGGCCACGTGTGGAACTCTGCGAGTGTGTGTGAGCACTGGGTGCCGTGGAATGATACAGATGAGGGGGAGGGGGAGAAGAGGCAGCCTGAAGGAGGGGGGTCAGTGTTGGGTGGCCAGTGTTCCCTGGGGTGACAGAAGTGAGCAGGATCCATCTGGGGTGGGCGGGGCAGGGGGTGGCGGCGGGGGTGGGGGGGAGGCGTGGAGGCTGCACCTGCTCTGCCATTTCCCCAGGGAGAGGGGGGTTCCTGCTGCTGCGGCTGCCTTTCCAACACCCACCGTCCTTGCAGAATTCCCCTGGGCAGGGAAGGCAGCAGAGCCAGCTCCCATCCATGCTCAGGGGTCCCCTCCGCCGGGAAGCCTTCCCTGGTTTCTGTGATGGAGTCACTGCAGTCCATGGTATGTCTCCCCACCGTGTGCTGAGCCTCTTATAGATGGGCTGGCCCCAGCTGGCTTTGGAAGGGGTGTCCCTGGGCCCTGGCGTCTGAGTGGTGAGCATCCAGTGAGGGGTCCCCGGCCAGTAGCTGCTGTACCTGGGACGCTGGAAGTGGGAGACGCCCTCCCTACACCCCCTGCACTTCTTGGGAGGGGGCTGGGATCAGGTGCAGAGACACTTGGGGCCGTGTTAGGTGAGCTGAAGGGGGCGCTCTTGCGCCTGCCAGGAGCTGGAGCCTGCCGCTTGGGTTGGCCTCCTCTCCCATCGGTGCCCCACAGGGAGGTCAGCTGCCGGGGTTTCCTGTCCTGCCCTGTTCCCAGGAGCAGGCTCCCTGGGGCTCTCCAAAGGGCCGCGAGGTTGCCGATGGTGACTCGAGCCCAACTCCTGGCGTCCTCTTTGAAGATGGGAAACTCTGCACCACAAGCCGGCCCGGGAGCCTCTTTGTGGTTGCGTAGACCTTAAGAGCCCTTCAAGCAGCTGTTCGCCCAGTGTGGAGAAGGGAAGTAGGCCTCTGGCAGGGTGGTCAGCACGCTGCCCCCTGGGACACGGGCGTCCCGTATCTGAGTCTCTGTTGGAGTCGCAGCTCTGCTCCCAGTTCCGGCTTCCTACCAGTGCGCCTGGGAGGCAGCCGACGGTGGCTCAGCGGCTTGAGCTCCTGCTGGCCATGGAGGCGACGCAGATGGAGTTCCTGGCTCCTGGCTTCCGCCTGGCCCAGCCCTGGCTGTTGTGGCCATTTGGGGAGTGACCCAATGAATTGGAATCAATCTCTCCCCCTCTCCCCCTCTCCCCCTCTCCCCCTCTCCCCCTCTCCATCACTCTGCCTTTCAAGTAAATTCAGTTTTTAGAAATGGAATTGAGTGGGCAGAGGGTGAACTGTGCAGTTCCTCTAAAGAACCCAAAGCTCGCTAAGAGCCTGGATCCCAGAGCTGAGCACCTGCTGGCCAGCGACCTCAACCCACTCCTTTCTGAGGTGACAGCAGCCCGGGGAGGGGGGGTGGGCCCCCTGCCCAGGTTCCAGCTGCAGCCTTCCAGGAGGGGAGCATGAACACGTGCGTGCAGCCTCAGGTCCTTGTCCCAGACCCTGGCCCTTTGGCTGCTGCTTCTCTCCTGGGAGTTGGAGACCCACATTAAGCACCCTTTTAAAAAGGGAGTTTGTGGGGCCCGCGTTGTGGCGTAGTGGGTTAAGCTTCCACCTGCAGTGCCAGTATCCCGTACGGGAGCCAGTTTGAGTCCTGGCTGCTCCACTTCCAATCCGGCTCCCTGCTATCACACCTGGGAAAGCAGTGGAGGATGGCCCAAGTGCTTGGGTCCCTGCACCTGTGTAGGAGACCCGGAAGAAGCTCCTGGCTTCAGTCCCGTTGTGGTCATTTGGGGAGTGTCCTTGCAGAGGGAGGGGGCTCTCCCTCTGTCTAACTCTGCCTGTCAAATGGGTAGATAAATCTTTTTTTAAATAATGAAGAAGGATTTTATGATGGTGAGAAACCAGTCTACACTGCATCCCATTTCTCTCCCCACCCGCCTCCCACCATCAGGGTACACTGGGCTCGAGCCCACTTTGTCACCTCGAGTGAGTCACGTGCCCCAGCGCTGGCCACCGTGCGTGCTCACTGCAGGTGCCTGTGCCGCCCGTGGGCCTCGGGGCCTCTCTAGCGTGCACAGCACCCAGCCAGTGTGTGTCTGGGGGAAGGCCGGGGGAGAGCTGCCAGGGGCAGGGGCCCAGTGGGTTCCACAGTAGCGCCCTCCCCCAACACCTGCTCTCAGCGGCTCAGAATCCAGAAACCCCCCCCCCGAGCTCAGACCTGGGGGCCACTGCTGCCCCCTCGGCCCCCAGCGCTTTCCCCAGTACTCATGCGCGCACACACACCCTCTCTTCCTTTGTAGCCTATCCCCCTCGGGTCAGCCACCTCGCACTTCCCTAGGGCCAGGGCACAGGGTGGCACCCCGTCCGCCAATTGTCACTGCAGGAAGGCTTCGTCCTTCGGCCCGGGGGCTGAGAATGCTGGGCGGTGGCCGAGCAGGGCTGGGGTGCACGGGCCCTCCCAGGGCCAGTCCCCTGGGGACCCATGGGCAGGCCAGGGGGGCCCAAGGCTGCCTGAGCTCTGATTGCCAGGGGTGGGAGAGTGGCCCTCGGTGATTCGTCCACGTGATGGCGATGTGGGGGGCTGAAGCCACGGCTGTGTCGCAGGGACAAGGCCCCTCGGCTGAGGTCGCATCCGGGCAGCCGCTGGGACTAGGTCCCACCAGCAGCTCGTCCCCCAAGTGCCCACAGACTCCACTCCTCCTTTCCCCTCGCTCTGCTTGAATGCCGCCTCCTCAAGGAGGCCTTCCAGGAGTGCCTTGTGGACAGCCCCCCTCCCCGTACTTCCTAGCACACATCACCCGAGAGGTATTCATTTCCTTGTCTCATCCCCATTGGACGAAGCGCCAACAGGG